CCATATAACACCCAGTGCTCATCCCAACAAGTGCCCTCCTCCATGCCCATCACCCCCACCCCCCTTCCCTTCCCCCCCCATCAGCCCTCAGTTTGTTCTTGGCATTCAAGAGTCTCTCATGGTTTGCCTCTCTCCCTCTATTTTTCCTTCTTCTCCCCCATGGTCCTCCGTTAAGTTCCTCCTAATCCTCCTGTACGTGCAAACATATGGTATTTGTCCTTCTCTGCCGGACTTATTTCGCTCAACACAACACCCTCAAGTTCCATCCACGTTGCTACACATGGCCAGATTTCATTCTTTCTCATTGCCATGTAGTATTCCATCATATCGGTAAACCACATCGTCTAGATCCATTCGTCAGTTGATGGACACTTAGGCTCTTTCCATGTTTTGGCTATTGTGGAGAGTGCTGCTATGAACATTGGGGTTCATGTGCTCCTATGCATCAGCACTCCTGTATCCCTTGGGTAAATTCCTAGCAGTGCTATTGCTGGGTCATAGGGGAGTTCTATTGTTAATTTTTTGAAAAACCTCCACACTGTTTTCATGACCCATCTTTTAATTAAAAACTAAATATTCTCTTGATTGTGTAAATAACTCAACTGTTAACCAGGCACCTCCTTAACTTGTAGGAGTTTTATAGTCTATGAAAACAATACTGAAGTCATATAAAAAGAAACACGCAAAAAGTTATAAAATTAACCAATAAAAAGGAACACAAATACTGTTTTGTCTTAAAGTGTGTGGAAAAAAGTAACATAGTTGGACAGAGTGAAGTATAAATAGAGAAATCAGCATCTCAATTCAAAGTAGGAAAAACTCCCCCCCCCACCAAAGTAGGAAAAAAATATTTATTTTACTTTATTTTTTAATGTTTTATTTATTTCTGAGACAGAGAGAGACAGCGTGAGCAGGGGAGGGTTAGAGAGAGAGGGAGACACAGAATCTGAAACAGGCTCCAGGCTCTGAGCTAGCTCTCAGCACAGAGCCTGACGTGGGGCTCGAACCCATGAACTGTGAGATCATGACCTGAGCCAAAGTCGGATGCTTAACCGATGGAGCCACCCAGGCTCCCCGGAAACAAAATTTTTTAAAGTCACCTTGGTAGATCTGTGAACGAAGGGATTTCAAAAAATAGGACTGGAATTACTTGGCGATTCAAGAACTGTATTTTCTCCCAAAGCGGCATGGTGCGAAGGTGGGTGGGGTTGGGGTCTAGTGCTGGTCACTTTCAAAAAGGAGGCTGCTCAACAAACGAGCAGGGACACACGGACATCCACATGCGACAAAATGAAGCTGGGTCCTAACGCCCCACACCATATACAAAAGTTAACTCAAATGGATCAAAGACCCAAGTGTAGAAGAAATTGTAAGATTCTTGGGCGAAAACAGGTGCAAAACTTTAGAATCCTGGTTTAGGCAATGATTTCTTAGACAGGACACCAAAAGGGAAAGCAACCAAAGCAAAAAATACACTAAACTTCATCAAAACTGAAGACTTTTGTGCTTCAAAGGACACCACCAAGAAAGTGAAAAGACAACTCATAGAATGAGAGAAAATATTTGTAAATCATGTATCTGATAAGAGGCTTGTATCCAGAATATGTAAGGAACTTTTAGAACTCAACAAGAAAACAAAGCCCGATTTTTAAAATGGAGAAAAGATCTGAATAGTTTCTCAAAAGAAAAGCCATATACGAGGTATGCATGGATGTAGTATATAAAAGTGGGACATTCCAAAACTGCTGGTCAGGGGACTTTGTCACCTTATTCACCAGCGGGTCAGATTTTTAGCTGCTGAGGGCATCTATTCCAAAGTGAATGTGATGGAAAGTAAAGAAGACAAGATGATTCACTTTGGCTGTTTGAAAGGAAGAGGAAAAAAAAATCACACAAAGGCTTCTTTTTGTAATAAAGTAGAAGAGCCCTCTTTCAAAAAGAATATACACATGTCTAATAAGCACATGAAGAAAAGATGCTCAACATCAATAGCCATTAGGCAAATGCAACTTAAAACTATGGCAAGATCTGCTTCATATCTGCCAGGATGGCTGTAATCAAAAAGACAAGCGATAACAAGTGTTGGTGAAGACACGGAGAAAATGGAACCCTCACACATTGCTGGTAGGAATGTAAAATGATGCTCTGGAAGACAGTTTGACAGTTCCTCAAAATGTTAAAGACATAGTTACCACAGGACTCAGTAATTCTACTCCTAGGTACATATCCAAGAAAAATGAAAACTAAGTCCACTCAAAAATTTGTGCAAGAACGTTCATAGCAGCATTATTTATAATAGCTAACACCTGGAAAACAATCCAAACATCCATCAACTGATGAACAAATGTGGTATATCCATACAGTGGACTATTATTTGGCCATAATAAGTTAACAAAATGCTGATACATACTCCAACATGGATAAACCCTGAAAATAATATGCGGCACTGAAGAAGTCAGACTCAGAGGCTACACAGTGTATGATTCCATTTGTATGAAATGTCCAGAAAAGGCAACTCCGTAGAGACAGAAAGTAGATGAGTGGTTGTTATAGACTGAATTATGTTCTCCCAAAAATTTAATGTTGAAGCTCTAACTCCCAGTGTGACTACATTTGAAGACGGCACCTATCAGGGAATAACAAAGGCTAAGTGAAGTCCCTAAAGTGGGGGCCTAATCTGGTAGGGTTGGCGGGTCCTTCTAAGAAGAAAAAGAGATGCCAGATCTTGACGTCTCTGTCTCTCCCCCACCCTCTGTGCACCCAGAGGAAAGACCATGTGAGAACACAGTTGAGAATCTTAAAAAAAAAAAAAAAAAAGCTGTATATATAAAAATGCATGAGGTCATGTGACAAACTTGAAACACGACTTGACTGAAGAACATCGTGAAATCTCCCTACCTTCCAATTTCCTATTTAAAAAAATTTTTTAAGTTTATTTATTTATTTTGAAGAGAGAAAGAGTGAGCATGAGCATGAGAGGAGTAGGGGCAGAGAAAGAGGGAGACAGAATCCCAAGCAAACCCCTTGCTGACACAGCGCAGAGCTCAACGCAGGGCTCGAACTCACGAACTATTACATCATGACCAGAGCTGAAAGAGTCAGGTGCTTAACTGACTGAAACACTCAGGTGCCCCCTGCCCCCGCCGATTTCCGAGTTTGATCTAAAGTTTACTTGTTAGTTTGTAGGTTTCCTTACAATAAACTCTTCCAATCAAGTGCTTGAGAAAGTGAAAAAATCTTTTTACTTTTAGTATAGGAAATACAAGCGGTTAAAACAGAAGGTTTATTATTAGCCCTTCCTACTTACTGTGATTCTCTAATCTTTTGTTTGCATGCCCTTCCCTTCCTAGCCTCATCTTTGTTTTTCTTACTTGTAATGTCTTCTGGCTCTTCACTAATTTTCTTTCCTAACATCCACTCATTTGCCTCTTCTCTTCCTCTGTCCTAGTCTCCTTACATCAGTAAGTGTGCGCTGAAAACCTATTTGACAGCAGGAGCTCTGCTTTTAGGTAGCTTATAGTCACATCTTGTCGTCTTTCTTTTCTCTTCTAATCGCGCACTGCTGTGCCTTCCTGTGCCCGCTATCAACATTTTCTTACCCATTTTTATACTCCTCTATTAGTGATGCTTGTCCATATGTATGTCTATAGGCTCCCCGATGTTACCGCTACGGTATATAAGAATACGGACAAGAAGGACATGAAAATGTCTAACTTGTGTGTTCATTCCCGATGCTGTTCTGATGTTTAGGAGACAGGAGGCGGTGCTGACGGTGATGGAGCTAGTGAGGCTCAGGAAATGTGCTGGGCAAGACCGGAGCTTCCTCTCTCCGTGGGTGGGGGAGCCTGAGCTCGGGTTTCTAGAAGTGATCTGACAAGCATTTTGGGGGCACGACGAGGACCTAAGAACTTGAGGCGAGGGCCACAGAATTCAAAGATGTAATCTCTGCCCTTTGAGAACCTAACATGTGCCAGAAAAGGACAGATGCACAATAAGATACTTCCCATAGTATGCAGTGGGGCCCACCAATTCCCTCATCTGGTGATATTCCTTCCGTTCCTTCCTTCCTTCCCTGATTCAAACTTATACCAAGCATTTTATTTCATGTCAGCCTTTGTGCAAAGCACTGGGGAGCACAAAGACCAATATGAAAAAACGGCTTCCAAACCAGTCATCACTTTTTAAAAAAAATTTTTAATGTTTGTTTAGCTTTGTGTGAGACAGAGAGATCGAAAGAGAGAGGGAGAGAGATCGTGAGTGGGGGAGGGGCAGACAGAGAGGGAGACACAGAATCGGAAGGAGGCTCTAGGCTCTGAGCTGTCAGCACAGAGCCCGACGCGGGGCTCAAACTCATAAGCTGTTGACGTCATGACCTGAGCCAAAGTCGGACGCTCAACCGACTGAGCCACCCAGGTGTCCCAGTCATTACTCTTGAGGAGCTGAACTTCATACTTCCTCTGGCAGAAAAGTCCTCTCCTACTTAAACTTTCTTCTCAAGACTTTGTAAATGAAGCTTATGTGCTCACAGTCAACCCGATATTCCAGTCATCCCCTTTCATTTGGGTTTATGCGTTTCACAAACTATATGTTTTGGCCCTCTATTTACAGATGCTATCACTAGTGATAGGCCCCTATTATAATGAAGCACCTTCTCACGAGGTTATATATTAACAGGATTCTTAGAAGGTTATCTCATTAATGCTCTGTTTCTCTTCAAAGACTAGTAAATGCTACTAGACTTGGAAATCCTAGTCTCCAAAACCTTATCACAAGTTCAGACTGGACTTCAAAAATAGTTTAACTCTGTGAATGGGCACATATTATATTCCTAAATAAATGAGCTTGACTTTAACTACTGGCCTACCCCACCCTCAGACCATTTGCCACTGGTGGCAGTATGTGACTTTGTATTATAATGTATAATTACCCACTGAAAGTCTCTCCCCAGCCAGCACACAGACAACCATAAGAGCATTCATTCCTTAAATCAAAGAAAATACCTGACAGAAGGCTGTGGAACATTTTCTGGACTGGCTGGTACCTGGACTCCCTTTTCCCATTCTTCCTTCCATGTATCCGCAAAGAGGTAATAGCTGTCAGGACTAATGTGGTGAGAATCAGGAAGTTTCATGGCACTGATGAGGTCCTTCCGGAATACCTGGGAAGACATTGTACACACTTTGAGAGGACCATCACTATGAAACTAAGACCATTTAATGTTCTCCTTTTAAAAAGACTATCCTACCCACTCTACGCTTTAACAAGAGACATCTTTAACTTCCTAAATGGCCAGATCAACTTCTATTTGGAAAGGGTCTGAAGCACCAACAGGGAAGCCAGTCTGTTGTGGATTTAATACAGAATAAAGAAATCCTTCTTGGGGCACCTGGGTGGCTCAGTTGGTCGAGCGTCCGACTCTCGATTTCGGCTCAGGTTATGATCACACCGTTCGTGAGATCAAACCCCACATTGGGCTCTGCACTGAGAGCATGGAGCCTTCTTAGGATTCTCTCTCTGCCCCTCCCCTGCTCACTTTCTCGCTCTCAAAATAAATAAATAAACGTTAAAAAAAAAAAAAAGAAATCCTTCTTGAATTATTTCCTAAGGCTCTTTGAATTTAAATCAACAATACAGGTTACTCTAAAACAGTTTGTATAAAACAAACAATGCTTAACACTTTCAAATTAAGCAGTTAAGTATCCTTTGGTTACTTATTTATTTAGCCATCACTTTATTTTTTTTTAAGTATTTACTCGGACACATGGACAAGTTATAAAAATAGTACAGAGCTCCCATATACCCTTCATATAGTTTCTTCTAATGTTAAAGTACAGTTAGCTAAACCAGAAAATTGACATTGCTATAATACTATTAATTAAGCTACAGACTTTATTAAAAGGTTACTAATTTTCCCATTAATGTTCTCCTGATCCAGATTTCAATCCAGAATCCCACACTGCAATTAGTTGTCATGTCTCCTTCGTATTCTCCAATATGTGAGGCTTTGTCAGTCTTTCCTGGTCTTTCAAGACCTTGACACTTTTGAAGAGTACTGGTCATGTATTTTAGAGTAGATCCCCACAGTTTGGGTTTGTCTGCCATTTTCTCATGATTAAAGCTATCATTCTGTGGCATGAATACCACAGAAATGATGCCGTGCCCTTCTTGTTTCATTCTGTCACGGATGTAGAATGTCAATGTCCTGTCAGTGGTGATGTTACACTTGATCGCTTCGTTAAGGAAGAGTCTTGCTGGTTTTCTCCACTGTTACATTACTGTAGTTCCCTTTGTAATTTATAAATATGCTAGAGGAGAGACTTTGGGAGTATAAAAACATCCCATTTCTCCTCAAACTGTCACGAGCTAATTTTAGTGTCCACTGGTGGATAACTTGCCTGCAACAATTATTGCTGTAGTGTTCTAATGGTGATTTTCTACATCCCGTAGTCCTTCTACATCTCTTGATTGGAATTCTTCTAGAAGAAAGATCTGTCCTTTCTTCCCCCTTGTTTTTCAATTATTTAGTTAGATCATTAAAGACTTGTGGTTAGCTCTTTACTCTTCGAGTTTGTTTTACCTTTGATCACTGGGAGCTCTTTCGGCATGGCTAGCATCTGTGCTCTTTCAATGTATCCCATACTTTTTGGAGTATTTCCTTAACTCCTTACATTACAACACGCTCCAGGCATGTTTAGATCTTTTAACTGCTTATAAGAGCTATTGATTTTATATGTTAACTTCACTGAATTCTTTTATTGCTTGAGTTAGTCTTATCATTGATTTTCCTATGGTTTTCCCGATGTATTATCATATCATCTGCAAACAGTGTTTCAGATCTTCTTTACCTAGTCTCTGTCTCTACTTGGTTTCTCTTGTTTAACTGCATTGGCAAATACTGTACTAATATATGGAATAGTAATGGGGATACTGGATACATCTGCCTTCTGCCTGAAATTGGGGGGAATACCTCTAGTGTTCCCCATGAACTAAGATACAAGGTTGAGGATTATGGTATGTATATTGTATAGATGTTAAACTATCTTACAGTTCCTTTTTTCTTGAATGTTTTCGAATGCCTGGGTATTGAATCTTGTTAAAGGCTTATATGTATAAAGGAGAATAATTATATAATTATTTTCCTTAGAGATACTATTAGACATATGATAATATTATATTTCTTAATACCAAACAAACTTGCATTTCTGGAATGAATGTTACTTGGTCATGGCACACCTTCTTTTATTTAGCATTTATCATATTCATGAGTGATATTTATCTTAAGTTTTCTTTCTTTTTTTAAATTACCTTTGTCTTTTAGGTTTAGGTATCAATGTTATGCATGTTTCATAAAAGGAATTCAAACATTTTCGTTGTTAACAATGCTATATAATAATTTGAGAATTACTGGACTATCTGGTCCCTATGAAACCATCTGAACCTGATGCTTTAAAATTTTTTTTAATGTTTATTTACTTTTGTGAGAGAGACAGAGAGACAGAGAGACAGAGAGACAGAGAGAGAGAGAGAGAGAGAGAGAGAGAGAGAGAGGGAGGGAGACAGAGAGCGAGGAAACACAGAATCTGGAGCAGACTCCAGGCTCCGAGCTGTCAGCAGAGTCCAACATGGGGCTTGAACCCACGAACTGTGAGATCATGACCTGATCCACTCAGCCGCCACTGGACTTGGTGCTTTTATTGTACAGTAGTTCCTAATAATATTCTCTATTTCTTTGGAAATTGATCACTTTAAGCTTTCTACCTAGTCAAATGGAGTCAACTTTGTTAAACTGTATTTTCACAGGGAGTTATCTATCATATCCAGTTTTTCAAATTTATTTCTGCAGAGGCTTGCAAAGTATAGGCAGTTCTACTTTGCACACAAGTGTGGGACCATAAAAATGGTGGTACATATAGAAACTGTGAAAAGCAAAATTAATAATGGGAGAAATTATGATTTTTCTCTGCCCTTAAAACATTTTGGTCAAAATATGAGAAACTCTTATTGTTGGCTATAGGTGTATAAAAAATGAAAAACATAATTAATATTTATTTAGTATACTGTAATTAAACATTGGGAACATTAAGAATTTAATGTTCATTTAAAAATTTATCAGGAGTATGTGAAACAATGCTTGCCTCCTTTTTCTTATAAGATATGGAACAAACATCTGGGATGTTTTTTAAAAAAATTTTGATTTGTTTGTACTTCCCCTTTCATCCAAGAGTTGTTTAATAGGTTTTAAAATTTCCATGGGTAAGGACATTCCTGTTTTTGTTCGTAATTTCGGATTTTACTGCACTGTGACCAGAGTTTTTGTTTATATCATGTCTACATAATGGAAATGTTTTTCCTTGTGACTTAATATTTGATCATTCTCTAAGTGTACATTTGAGAAGGTGTATTCTCCATTATACCTAATATCAAGGTTTAGAGTTGGATATATATTAATCAGAGGTACCTTACTGCTTAAGTTGTTTAGATCTTCTATCTCCTTACTTTTTTGTTCACTTAATCTGATACTGAGAGAGGTGTATGAAAGCCGCCTATGGCTTGTGTGTTTCTATCTACGTCTCCTTGATTCGTCTACAGTTCTTAATCCGTAAAGGTGGTTGTTGTGTAGGTCAGTGTATAAATGCACCTAAGTATTACATCTTCATGGTGAGTTGTAGCTTTTAACATTAAAAAGTCGTCTTTGAGGCGCCCGGGTGGCTCAGTGGGTTAAGTGTCCCACTTCAGCTCAGGTCATGATCTCATGGTTTGTGGGTTTGAGCCCAACGTCGGGCTCTGTGCTGACAGCTCGGAGCCTGCAGCCTGCTTCAGATTCTGTGTCTCCCTCTCTCCCTGCCCCTCCCCCACTCATGCTCTCTCAAAAATAAACAAACATTAAAAAAATGTTCAAAAGTCTTCTTTGTTTTGGGGTGCTTGATTTCTATTTCGTCTAATATGAGGCTCACTCCTCCTCCTACCATCTTCCTGTTATATCTTTGTCCATCTCTTTTTTTTTTTAAGCCTTTCTGAATAGACGTTTTAGGCATATTTTTGTATACAGCATATAGCTGCATCTTGTTTCCTGAGTCAAAATAATATTTTTTCTTTAATAGATGTTAAGCCCATTCATATTTACTGGCATGACACAGATATTTGGTCTCAACTGTCATATTTGATAATTACATGATTATATTTCCTTGTGTGTCTTTCTCTACCAGATGCATATTCTTTGCTCTTTTAATTACAATAGGTTTTCTTTTTGCATTTAAGATTTGTATTTTTATTCTATTTGTTATCTTTGTACTTGGATATTTAAAAACTGTCCTTAGTTTCATTTTCTTTTTTACCCTTTTACTACCTGGTTTATCAGTTTTGATTGCTCTCGGTAAACTCCTCAGAGGCGAGGAGGATAGGAATGAAACGGCGACCATGGTAGCTGAGAGGACCCCAGTGCGAGCCGAGCCTTAACCGTATCCCTGGCAAGGGAGTCATGGCTGTGGGATCACTTCAAAGGCCAGAGGTAGAGGCTGATGATAGGAGTACAGCTACAACTTGGACTCGGGGAAACAAAGAAATTCCTCACAGCTCATTTTCTGCACCCCACGTACAATCAGGCACTGTCAGTATGGCAACCACGATCCATGTGAAGTTTGATGTACTGTTATCCTCTGGTTGAAAGGGTCCCTGGGTGACGAAGGGTCACAGAAATATGCTTACCAGCCTGAAAACATGACTCAAATGGCCATAGCTTTGTGATTCTGCCTTTTCAACAACAGAAAAAAGTATCCCAGGAGATCTTAAGCTAACCTGGCAATGATTTCAGTGCTAAAGGCCCAGCTGGTGTAGAAGCAATGAGGCAATATACTTTCATATAAAAGTATACATGCACTGGTCTATACGTCAGCTACGAGTTTCTAATCCTAAAAAAATTCAACCAACCACTGGCAGGCCAAAGATAAACATGTGCACATTTTTGGAAGGTCAAAGGAAAAAACGCTATCAATCATTTTCGCCTTTAATGCTAATCAAGGTTCTCCGAGGAGAAACGCTGTTCAAATTCTGTTTAACATGAAAGTAGAGGCACAGAGCGTGATCTAATAAAGCGGTTAATTCTCTGTTGGTGCAGTTCTGCTTCAACTGACAACATTTCAGAGTATAGGACTGAACTAT